AATGCTTTGATTTTGTACGATGATCCATACATACATGTATGAATAAGAGAGGAGTTGCAATAGAAACTCAAGTTTTATGTGGAAAGCGCAAAAAAGAAAAAATCGTGAGGTCTAGCCCAACTGAAATTATTCTACTAGTATTTTGTTATCGGATACAAATGACATTCTTCTCATAACTTGGAAAGAATGCAAAAATCCAATATTATAGGCATAAACTATATCGAACGAATTCAATTGTGAAAGTTGGAAGGCTTGTCCAAGAAATCTAGTATAAATCCAAGTGATGATGTTAGGCGGTGGTCAAGCTATGGTGGTCTAACAGTGGTCTGGCGGCGGCGTTCAAGTGGAGTTTTGAAATCTTTATCGACTCTAAGCTATCTTGAATCTCAAACCGAAGTCCATGTTCCAAGTCCTACTTTTATGTTGAGAGTGAGGGTCTATTTATAAATTTTTAATAGTGACATACCTCATAAATATAGAAAAAATTTGAAACACTCTATTGGATGGATTGTATTGATTCTATTGACATATATAATTCCTTCGTCATTTATATTTCATAATGATGTTAGGATTAAATAATCTTATACTCGTCTAATTTGTCTTGTCAAACTGCTTGATTTTATTATAAGTTTGTAATATTTAGAAAATTTTTAATCATCTAATTAATGTTGTGAACTTTGCAATTACGTTTCAAGTGCATGGTCAAGGCTCATTCTGACTTTCAATAGATTAATTTTATTATCACCGATTAGTCTCATTGAAAAATTCAGTTCAACTATAAATTAGCTGAAATTGGAGTTTAGATGATCGTAAAATTAACTTTGAAAGTTTTCATTGAAATACTTGACGATCAAGATGATTTTGGATGATGTATTGTCATAAAAATTATTTTTGAATTATTAAGAAAAAATATAGTTTTATTAAAATTTATTATGAACGTTATAAATATTTTTACCTTAAAAAAATAATATTAGCTTTTTTTAGAGAAAAAAAAGGGTCACATTTAACTACATTATGTATGGGGATAATTTGATCCACATACTTTTGTAATAATTAGAGCGTTATATGTCAATTAAAATTTATTTTTATGCATCAAAATAAAATAAATAATAATAAATTTGAAGACAAAATACATTATTATTCTATAATGAATTAATTATTTTTAAATATAAAGAATGTATACATTTTAATACACATTACAATACATTATTATTTTATTCTATGTTATTTGTGGATTTAACCCTTACGTGCATTTAATTTTGGGTATCTACAACGACCGAGGAGTTGCCCACGTTTCACGCGCCCATCGACCTCTTTTTCTTAAAAACCCTTTCATGTTACCCCTCAAACATCATTATTTATTTACTAGAAACACCAACTCCTACATAGATCTTTAATTGAGCATATACTAATGAATTTAACTGATTTTAAATAATATTCATTATCTTAATTATATTATATATTTTTTATTTTTATACTGGCATTCTAAGAAATATTCAGTTAAAATACAGTGGCATAAATGTATATATACTCGAATTCAGTTGCCTCACGGCCTTCTTTGTTTGCATCCCATTCATTCTCACATTAAACCCGTGCCTTTCTTGTCGGAGAATCCGGCCAAATTGTCATTCATATACGGTGGATTGGCAGATGAACGGCCGGCGGGATCGTCGTGGAGGTGGAGGGCGTGAAGTTTCCGACCGAGGTCACTTCGCCGGTGACCTCGAAACCGCTATTTCTCGGTGGCGCAGGTTATCTTTTTTGCTATAGGCGACGAAATTGCAATAAAGCCTTCATCTTCTTTGCTCGGGTGAGAAAAGGCAAGAAAAAATAAAAAAGTAATTTTGATGGTTTTGCGTGAATGCAGGGGTGAGGGGTGTAGAAATTGGAGGGAAGTTTATAGCGGTGACCGTCATCGGAGTGTACCTGGAGGCGGCGGCGATTCCGGCGATCGACGGAAAATGGAAGGGAAAGACGGCGGAAGAGCTCTCCAGTTCGGCTGAGTTTTACAGAGACATTATTACCGGTGAGCTTCCGACAAAATAAATGACATTATATGCACGTTGCTCATCAATTTCATCATCATATCAAGTGGGAAATTTTTTTTATCAAAATAAAATTTTTAATTGGGGATCTGCATACTTAGAGCTCAAATTTTTTACTTCTATATATTTAACTTCTAAATTTTACTAATTATTTAAATAACACTTAAATTTTAAAATGACTAAAAATAATAGTTAGCACCATCCAATTTGTGTGCTATTGAGATCCCATGGCGACTTCTTCTTTGGGCACGACATGGTCCCTAGGTTGTTGCTTCTCTCATTGATGCCTTAGCCAACAAGATCTAGTGGTGACTTCTCATCAAAGAGAGAAATTATTCTGCGCGGATGCCGAACACAGTTTAATGTCCGTAGATCAACTATAATGCGCTATGTCAAGAGTATCGAGCTGCGGTACCAAACAATACCTAGTCGAGCATGAGAGATTATTAGGTGCGGAGTGCGGACGGGGAGAACCGTCCGCACAAGCATTGGGTACCTAACGGTACCCGCACTCGGTACCGCTGGGTATCGCTGAGTACCGCTAGGTACCTAGTGTTTGTGCTGATCGTGCGCACTCCACACCTAATAATTTTTCGCCAAGCAGGAGGTGACATGACACATTCTAGTTGGTCTTTAGAAAGTGTTCGGAGTTTGCACTGATTTATGTCTTCATCAAATGTGAGATTCGGCGTAAGTTCTTTATTGAGATTGAGGGTTTGATTAAGTCATAACTAAGTTTTATATTTTGAAAATAATAAAATTTAGATATTAAATATTTAAATGAGAAAATTTTGAGTGTTAAATATATCAGACTTCATTCGAAATGGCTTTCTTACCAGTTCTTAACATAAATTTTTAGTTAATTTTTTTTTTTGTACGTAAAAATTATTTTAAGAAGCAATAAGAAAACAGCCTATTTCATATTTGTATATAAAAACTTATTTTAAAAACTTAGATTCATAATACTCAAAATTATTCTACTTACACATTTAAGGCATAAAATTTATATTTTTTTCTGATATTACATTACTTAAAATTTTAAATAACATAAAAAAAATAATATCATCACTTCTTCTTCCTCTTTTTCTTCTTCCTCCACATGCTACCAGTCTCTTGAATCTTCTTCCCCATCTAGATCCCATCCTATCTCCCTCTTCTTTTCTTCATCTTTATTAAAAAATTATTACAATTTTCTCATCTCTTCTTTATCTCCAATAAATATTATCACGGGCTCATGACTTCTTCTTTGTCATCAAAGATTTCATCAAAAAATTAATTATATTATGTAAATAGTAAAATTTTAAGATTAAATATATAAATTAAATGTTTTGAAGTGTTATCTATATAAATTCTTCTTTATTTTAATTGTGCTGTACTGTCCCAGTGATTTTTTTTTTTTTAGATGTTGACTGTTAAATTATAAACTTAAAAAATAAAAATAAAAATAAAAATCTCCCTTAATCATTAAGCCTTAGTTCCTTTCACCATTTTTTATTAGATTTCAGCAACTATATTATTTAGGTTCAGTTCCAGTTATTGTCTTCTTTTTTCTTTGATTGTGCCATCAGAATATGACATTTTTTTCTAATAATTGTATTAGAAACTCCTAAAATATCATAAATATCTTTATTTTTTAATGTTCTAAGAATTATCAGATATTTATGGGCAAAGAATTTCAAACCTTTAGTATTAATTTAAGGTTTTATTTGCAAAATTTTCTTACTATTTTTTATAACAACTTTTTAGCATAAAAATTTATTTAAAGTTAAAAAATAGTGATTAAAAGCTTTCATTAGAGACATTTATTTACTGTTTTCTACTGTAATTTTTAGTAATTTTTTTTTAAAAAATAATAATAAATTAGTGGTTAAAAGCTCTTTGAAGCTAAGCCTAAATTATAAATAATCAATACAATAAAGAAACTGTTAATTGTGGAATTGTTTGAGACAGTTTTTTTATTAATTTTTTAGTACAAAATTTTTTGAACTTAAAATTCTTATATTAAAAAGTTAAATAAAAAAGTTATAAAAAATTGTCTAAAAACATTAATCTTTTGAAAAATATTAGAATTTAGGAGCAAAAAATTTTCAATGCTTTAGTATTAAAAGCACAAAAGAAAAAAACATTGATGCAAATATAAATGAAGATAATTGTTTAATTATTTTTAGACAAATTTTCGATTTGTCTCTGTCAACAATAAAAACGTAATTTTTGTTCACCAATACATTGGTACTGTTTACAAAGATAAATCTGAACGATTCAATGTATTCAATCTCTGCACTTAATAATCTCTACTATTTCTAAAGTTTCTTTCTAGTACAATTATAAAAAATGAAAAATTAATGACTAAAATCTTTTCCAAAAGCCTAAATTATAAATAAATGAAGCTATCAACATTTATTGATAGCATTCAATCGCCTAATGACAATAAAGCATCTGTTAATGTTGCCTTGATGGGATCTCTGTTTACAGCTCATATGGTAACCTGCCATTAAAGAAATAAATTTTAAAAATAATATATTTTTCTTTCATCCGTTGAGCGGTCGCGCGACGGATCACCGACTCTCCGGATATTTTCCTTAAAAATTTCTCAAATAATCGATCGGGCGGTTAGGTTCCTTCGAGAAGCTGACGAGGGTGACGATGCTGCTGCCATTAACGGGTAAACAGTACTCCGAGAAAGTCGCCGAGAACTGCGTTGCTGCATGGAAAGCCGCCGGCGTCTACACCGAAGAAGAAGAAGCTGCCATTGTTAAGTTCCTGGAAATCTTCAAGCCGAAGAACTTTCCTCCGGGCACTTCCATCGTCTTCTCTCATTCCCCTAGCGGCACTCTAACTGTATGTAAACGTTCGAATCAAATCGATATTTTGTTTTTTTTGGAGGTTTTTAATGAATTAATTCTCGTCTGGTTTTTGCTGTAAAGATTGGATTTTTAGAGCTGGGGGGAGTTCCGGCGGCTGAGAGCGGTGTGATAGAGAACAAGAAGCTGACGAATGCGGTATTGGAATCCATTATAGGGGAGAAAGGAGTTTCCCCTGCTGCGAAGCAGAGCTTGGCTCAAAGGATCTCAGAGTTTCTTAACAAGAAAGAAGAAAAAGAAAAAGAAGAAGAAAAAGAAGAGATTTTGGTTGTGGAGAAGGGCAAGTTGGAGCAAGTTGAGGTTGCTTGATTGAATGATTGTTCTCTGTAATTTTACTTTGTCTGTCGTATTACCTTCTGTGTTGAATAACGGTTGTTCTTCCTGAATCCTTCAGATTTGTTTGGATTGCAGGAAGGTTTTAACTTTTAAGCAAATGCAATTAAATTCCAATAAATTGGCCATGAAAAAATAGCTTTTTTATTAAAAAAACTGTAAATTTATTATACTTTTTCTGAAAAACAAGAAAAAAATACAGTGCATGTGAAGATACTAAAAAAAAAAACAAAAAGAGTTGACAAAGCAGCCCAACACGGATCCAAAGGCTGAGCTTTTGAGGACATAAATGCAATTAATGGAGTTGCTGGCTGGTTGTTGATCTTGCAGATTTCCCACCGCATCAATACTTGACTGATATTTTCTATATTTCGTTTACTTTATGAGTGGCTTTCTTTTCTCTGTAAACGGAGGAACATTAAGAAAGCATTGGATTTTGCAGATTCAATTAAAAGGGTCATAATTGTGATTTGTAAATTATGGAGGAGTTATTAGTTCCATTTTTGGTCGGACATCATAATGATATCATTTAAATATAGTTAAATTTGAATTCAATCTTTATTAATGGAATAGAATTTTCAGCTCAATACTTTTTTGAACTATGATATAGTGTCATAAAAACTGTTCATGTGGGCCATATGATTGATTTGGTCGCATCTTCCGACTCCTTTGAGAAAAATCTCTTTTCTAAGAAGAAATCTTCTGAACTTTTTCATAATCATCATCACTTGTAAAAGTTACAGAGACAAATTGGATGGTTCTCTATGTCCGATCTCCACACGTAATAATTTCTCGCCATGGAGTGTAGAGTGCCTAATATGTGTTGTATTTGTATGTTGCTTGTCCAACTAAAAAAGTGGAAATAGATGTCTTGAATAGGTATGCAGTTATTTGGAATGGCTGCAGCATTTTATAAAGTTGATATGAAGAAAATAACTTCACTATTACGTTTGAAAAGCTATGAGTAAGTTTGTGTTTTTTTCCTCATGTGGTTGTTCTCTTTTCTTTAAATGTGATCAATAGATAATGTTACTTGGGCGATCACAATCAAACAATAGAAGTTAGGCGGAACTAATAATCAGTTAGATGATGGCAATTGAGCAATTGCAATGAGACCATAATTGAATTGAGATCATTTGAACTCAAATTGAATAACCTTTGATGTCTTCGAGTTTATCTTATCTAGATGCTCAATTTTACTATTATAAGTTTGTAGAAATCATATTAAAATTCTTCGAATAACTTTAAATTTAATTATGAAACTTTCTAATTTAAAAATTACCTCAAGATTTGTGCTGATTAAAGTAAATTTTCTTTAAGGTATATACATATCAAAGCACACATAAGATTTTGGAGATTTTCCTGAAAGATATGGCAATGGGATGGGTGATCTAATCCAACAACAAATCAACCAAACCAACTTTGATTAAACCAATCAATATGATTAAATCTGATTCACACCCCCCTTCCAAATATGGGCGATTGAGTTAAAAGATCCAGTCCACAAAAATTTAGAAAGAATTTCAATCCGAAGATCTTTAGTCCCGGACGTGTAACAAGGCCCATTTATTCTATGGGCCATGCTAACTTGGGCATTCTCAAATAAAGAGATATTTTCCTTGATATCCCAATGTTTAAGGGATTTAATTTCATTTCTTAATTAGTCAATTAAAATATTATGAAATACTTTAATTTCTAAGTTTTTATGCTCAATTTCGCTAAGTATCAAATAAATAACAAAATTTTGAATGATATGATTGTTAAGTTCCCTTAATTTTAATAAAAGTTTCACTTTCAACAAAAAAATATATATATATATATATATATATTTATATATATATATTATTTTCCCTCAATTAAATATACATGTTAATTTTAATTTATGGATGATAATAACCTAATTAATATTTGATAGAAAAACAAAAGCCAAAGCAACGGTTAACTATAATAATTTACAATTATGAAAAAATAAAAAAACCTTCAAATTTATATACATTTAATTGCTCCATAATTTATGGAAGAATTTGCAATACCAAAACTTATGGGCTCTCTCAGACAAATAATAATCCAATGAAAATTCCCAAAACAAAATAAATTTTCTTAATAAGAACAAAATCAATAAAAATAAAATAAAATCAATTAAATTAAAGATTTCGATGGCCAACAACTCATCTTGTCCATACAACCCAAATGGTAGAAGAAAAAAAAAAAGAGTTGCAACGATACAATTGGAGTAAATTTGAAGGAAGGAAAAAAAATTGGTGAAATAATAATTAAATTTTCAAAAAATATTTTTAATTAATATGAAAAATATGAAAACTATGTTTAAGAAATATATGCTTTTTAAATTGCATAACATAAAGAAAACATAATAATAAATTGATAATAAATCATCTAAGAAATATTTAAATCCTCATTTAAATGTGTATTTTTATCAAATTCTTAACTAGATATTTATTAAATATTAAAGAAAAAAATTCAACAACATAACTAAAAAATCAACTATTACTCAAAAAAAATTATTTATATGATAATATTTAATAATTTTATTCAAATGTATTCAACTATTCAAATAAATAAATAAATAATTATAATAATTAAGTATCTATTTTTCCATCAAAACACTAATTCATGTAAAATCTTAAGCTTAAAATAATCATATGAGAAAAAAAAATTGCATATGATCAACAACATCAACAAATATAATTATATCGTAAAATTGCCCATTTATATACGCAATGCCTTATGCTTATAAAATTTCTATATTTTTATAATTATAGGAGAATTTATATCCAATTTATCAAGTTATTCTAAAAAAATTAATCAAAATTCAAAATTATCAATATTTATTTGAGATTAAAACATTAATCTCAAATCAAATTCAATGATTTAAATTAATTTTTTTTAATTAAGGGAGTTGGCAAAAATATTTAATTAAATTTAGAAGATAAATTTTCTTATTACACATAATTGAAACAACATTATTTATTTTTTATAACAAATGTTCAAAAAATTGTCTGATTTTTTTTTAGAAAAATGAAATATAAATTATTTATATATAATACTAATCTCAAAGCAAATGTAAGAATTACAAAGCATGAACCACAGCCCCATGAGGACGGCCAACAAAGAAATCAAAGCTACCTTTACAAGAAAGCAGCCTGTGAAAAATAAAGAAGACTGAACACTTCTTCTTCTTCTTCAGAATAATTTTCCTCTTATACTCCTTTCCACTGCTAAAACTTCCGTTGCCATCACTGGTTTCATTAAGAAAGCAAGCGAGGTGATCAATGGCTTTTCTCTTGAAACTTCCAAAGCACTTGATAGTCTTTTCTGGCATCGTCTCTTTCTTTGAAAAGGTATAGCTTCTGAGATAGAGCTGCCGGCATGAGAAGCTGTCTACTACTACTTGTTTGTTACTGAAACCAGCAGAATATAATGATTTGACAAACTCAGCATCTGATTCTGCCCATTTGTGAAGATTAACATATGAAGAAGAAGAAGAAGAAGAAGAAGGCATCTGTGGATATTTCAGAGCTGATTAGTCTTGAATGGGAGGAGAAGTTATGATCAACTTACTATAAAGCTCATTTAAAGTCCAACTGTGACCAGGGGCGGAACCAGCCTTAAATGTTAGGGGGGG